AACTTCATCCCCCACTTTTAAATCGGGATTGTATCGAAATTCATTTAAAGAAATAACCCCTTCCGATTTGAAGTTGATATCCACAATGGCCTCACGTTCGGTCAATCGCACCACTTTCCCTATGAAAACCTCACTTTCGTTCAGTTCACCCAAGGTCTCGTCGTACATTTTTTCAAGGTCGGCTTTTTCTTTACGGTCGTTTTCATCCAAACCACTCTCGAATGATTCCCAATCAAATTGATCAGGATTAACATTGGCGTTGGCCAATATGTCCTGTTTTAAATCTTGGGGTTTTAGGTCGTCTAGCTCTTCTGACATGGCTATAAATTTTTGTATTTCAAAAACATCGGAGGGAAGCAACACCTTATCTTTGAAAGAATTAAATAATTATTTGTACCCATCCAACGCTTTCCTTTTTGGACGGATGCAAATATACATTTAAATTTTTAGTTGAGAAGCGCCTTTTGAATATATTTCATTGCTTGTTCCAACACCTCTTCCTTGGTAAGCCCCTCATTTTTAATCACCATGGCGTCATCCGCCTGTATTAGCGGGGCCAAACTTCGGTTCTCATCGTCAAAATCGCGGGCCTTCAGATTGGCTTCCACCTCTTGATAGGTCACATTGGGATCGGTTATTTTGAGTTCTTCCAAACGCCGTTGAACACGGGTATGAATGGATGTTGTTACGAATAATTTAATTTGGGCATTGGGCAATACATTGGAACCAATATCGCGGCCATCCATTACCACACCGCCCTTGGCCGCCAATAGCCGTTGTTGGTCTATTAAAAAAGTGCGCACCGAGGCCAATTGGGCTATTTTACTCACCCTATTGGATACCTCCATGGTTCGAATCTCGGATTCCACCAATTCTTGATTTAAATGCGTTTGATTTTGCTGAGTCTGGGGATCTTTAACAAATGATATCTGCATATGGGCGTATTGAGTTTGAAGCCAACCCTCCAATTCTTGGGCACTTAACTGGGTTAATTTATCACCCCAATAACGCATCGCATACAGGGTAAGTGCCCGATACATAGCACCCGAATCAATATGCACCAATCCCAATGCTTTGGCGATGGCCTTGGCCAATGTGCTTTTACCACTGGACGACTGTCCATCGATGGCGATTACCAGTTGATTTGCCTCCATAAGATTAGTATCCTAGTATTCCTAAAATTTCCTCGGGCGTTTGTTCCTCTCGATATAACTGATACTCCAATTCGCCTTTTTTGTTTTTTTGAATCAAAACATGTTTGGGTTGGGGAACCAAACAATGGTGTACACCGCCATACCCTCCCACCATATCCTGATAGGCACCCGTATTGAAAAATCCGATATACAAGGGTTTTTCTCGTTCGTAATGGGGTAAATATATGGCGTTGGTGTGCTGTTCCGAATTGTAATAATCATCGGAATCGCAAGTGAGTCCTCCCAAAAATACCCGTTCATACGAGTCGTGCCAACGATTAAGAGGCAGCATAATGAATTTTCGGCTTATGGCCCATGTATCAGGCAAAGTGGTCATAAAAGAGCTGTCGATCATATTCCAACGCTCTCTATCGTTTTGTTTTTTTTGATTGAGAATTTTATACAACATGGCCCCGCTTTCACCCACCGTAAATGAACCAAATTCGGTGTAAATATTGGGAACATCCACCCCTTCTTCTTCACAGAATTCTTTGATTTGATATACGATTTCATTGATCATGTATTTATAATCGTAATCAAAGTTAAGCGACGTTTTAATAGGAAATCCCCCACCAATATTAAGCGAATCCACCTCGGGCGCTATTTTTTTAAGTCGGGCATACACCCGCAAACATTTGTACAATTCGTTCCAATAGTAAGCCGTATCCTTAATGCCTGTATTGATAAAAAAATGCAACATTTTTAAACGCGCATGCGGATGCTCTTGTATTCGATTGATGTAAAACGGCAATATATC